TTTTTTTTTTTTGTTTACGTAGCCCAGCTGTTTGCGACGCTGTCGGTCCACGGTAGTTTGCAGGTGTCTGCAGCATACAATTAGACACCTGGTAATTCATAGTGTTATTTTTCATGGCGAAACTATTATTTTAAACACAATTTTACATACCAGATAATCGGAATTATAGGACAGTCTATCTTCTACTGATCAAGGCGTCCGGGAAATAAAATATCACTCGGCTAACGTTGATCTAATGCTGTAGGTGTTGTTGAGTGAAGGGAAGTGTAGTGTGTAGGTGTTGATTTTCCTGTACGTGAGGCACGCCCACGCGCGGGGTACACGTGCTGGGTTACTCGTGGCACGGCGGATGGCAGCTACAATAAGTCACAGGTGACGCCCAAGAGTGATGACGGTGGCTGGGGGCGACACACACATGGAAGATGATGATGATCACAGCTGTCTGAATCACAGCACGATGATCTCAGATGACTTGAAGCTCAGATGACAAGATACTCACATGGGCTAGTGGCTAGACACTCAAGGGCAGGTTGTACTCACATGGGCTAGTGGCTCCACACTCAAGGGCAGGTTGTACTCACATGGGTTAGTGGCTAGACACTCAAGGGCAGGTTGTACTCACATGGGCTAGTGGCTCCACACTCAAGGGCAGGTTGTACTCACATGGGTTAGTGGCTAGACACTCAAGGGCAGGTTGTACTCACATGAGCTAGTGGCTAGACACTCAAGGGCAGGTTGTACTCACATGGGCTAGTGGCTAGACACTCAAGGGCAGGTTGTACTCACATGGGCTAGTGGCTAGACACTCAAGGGCAGGTTGTACTCACATGGGCTAGTGGCTAGACACTCAAGGGCAGGTTGTACTCACATGGGCTAGTGGCTCTACACTAAAGGGCAGGTTGTACTCACAAACTTCAGAATTGGGCAGCAAGTTTAGCTTCCACTAATCTACCAATAATGAGCGGCAGAGAGCTATATAGTTCCCTATATATATATAGCCCTTTAAACCCTTCACTCTTTATACAGTGATAACTACACATATATAACTATGGTTCCTGGAGCAGTTATGTGCTAAATAATAATCTCTACGACAGTATACTACATTCACCTGAAATTGAGTAAATTGAACAGAGAGAGATTCAGGGACGAACGGCGGTTACTTGAATACAAAGAATAAGATCTCAAGATAATTTGGCCATAGTGGGACGTGCATCGCATCTTATACGATAGACTCCTGCTTCAGAAAGAAGGTCTGCTGGTCCCACGCTACTTGATTAGCCTCCTTCCTTTGCCAGTGGTCTAGCTGCTGGCACAAGTTTAGACCCCTTGTAGAGTATATGAGGAAGAGAATTTATCCCAGCCTCGATCCTTGAGGTGCTCCACTTCTTGCTGTTCGCCAGTCTGACTTCTCACCCCGTACTGTTACTCTCTGGCTCCTCCCTGTTAGGTAGGAGTCAGCCCTAACTCCTTACCCATGTTAGGGCTTTTCCGCTTACTCTCGCCTGCCTCTCAGGTTTGTATAGAAACCTCTTTTTTGAGGTACTGTGTCAAAGGCGTTCTGGCAGTCCTGAAATGTGCAATTTGCCCATCCTTCTCTGTTCCACTTTTTTCATGTTGCTTTATCATAGAACTCAAGTAGGTTTGTTAGCGCCAAGATTGCCCTTCCCTAAAACGCTGTTTAGGAAAAAAGCAATGGAAAGACAACGTAGAAATAATTACCAAAATGTTGTAACTAGGAGCAGTAGCTAAAGTTACTCGCTGTTACCTGTTGCTTAGACTCCCCCTTATCCACTGGAGCACCTTCCTCTCTTGAGGTTATCTTGAGATGATTTCGGGGCTTTTTTTTTTTTTAGTGTCCCCGCGGCCCGGTCCTCGACCAGGCCTCCACCCCCAGGAAGCAGACCGTGACAGCTGACTAACACCCAGGTCCCTATTTTACTGCTAGGTAACAGGGGCATAGGGTGAAAGAAACTCTGCCCATTGTTTCTCGCCGGCGCCCGGGATCGACCCCGGGACCACAGGATCACAAGTCCAGCGTGCTGTCCGCTCGGCCGACCGGCTCCCTTACCTTACCTTACCTATTATTCCTGCCTGTTTCTCCAACTTTCTTTCTTAGACTGTCAGAAAGACAGTCTAAGAAAATGCAGTCTGCCCACCCTTCTCTTTCTTGCCTAATTGTTGTCGCCTCTTCTTGAGGTCATCTTCTTGAGATGATTTCACGGCTTTAGTGTCCCCGCGGCCCGGTCCTCGGCCAGGCCTCCACCCCCAGGAAGCAGCCCGTGACAGCTGACTATCACCCAGGTACCTATTTTACTGCTAGGTAACAGGGGCATAGGGTGGAAGAAACTCTGGCCATTGTTTCTCGTCGGCGCCTGGGATCGAACCCAGGATCATAGGATCACAAGTACAGCGTGCTGTCCGCTCGGCCGACCGGCTCCCTGGTCATAGAATTCTATTAAGCCTGTGAGGCACGATTTACCAGCCTTGTGTGTGTGTGTTATATTTACTAGTTGAATCTGCAGAATCGAGCTCCTAGCTCTTGGACCCCGCCTTTCTAACCAACTTTCTTTCCTCTATTATATCTACTGCATATATTTATCTCTAACACGCGCGCGCACACATCCCCAGGAAACAGCCCGTAGCAGCTATCTAACTCCCAGGTACCTATTTACTTATAGGTGAACAGGTGCATCAGGGTGAAAGAAACTCTGCCCGTTTGTTTTCGCTTGCGCCGGGAATCGAACCCGGGTCATTAGGACTACGACCCCCAAGCACAGTTCACTCGGCTACGAAAGCCCCCCCCCCTACTCATCCGCCAGGCCCCTGTGTGTGTGTGTGTGTGTGTGTGTGTGTGTGTGTGCGTGTGTGCGCGCGCGCGCGCGCGCGCACACACACACACACACACACACACACACACACACACACACACACACACACACCCGCGCGCGCGCGCGGGTGTGTGGGTACACACAAACACGCACACGTCATGCCAGATAGCGTGTGTATGCTGTGTGGTTGTAGCGTGTGTGGGCGTAGTGATGTATGGGCGGGAGGCTGGCGGAGGCCTAGGCGGGGCTCTTAGCTCTTCACACAAATCAAAATATTTATAGAGAAGGTCTTTATTTATGGTGGGCCTCCCAGTAGGCCGCCCCTCCCCGGAGAGCCTCCCAGTAGGCCGCCCCTCCCCGGAGAGTCTACCAGTAGGCCCGCCCCTCCCCGGAGAGCCTCCCAGTAGCCCGCCCCTCCCCGGAGAGTCCCCCAGTAGGCCGCCCCTCCCCGGAGAGTCTACCAGTAGGCCGCCCCTCCCCGTAGAGTCCCGCGAGAGTCCCCCAGTACGCCCCTCCCCGGAGAGTCCTCCCCAGTATCCGCTCCTCCCCGGAGAGTCTCCCAGTAGCCCGCCCCTCCCCGGAGACGTTCCCAGAGGGCCCTCCCCTCACCCGGAGATCCTCCCAGAGTAAGTCCGCCGCCCCTGACCCCCCCGGAGAGCCCCTCCCGCCTCCCCGGAGAGCCTCCCAGTAGGCCCGCCCCTCCCCTGAGAGTCCCCCATAGCCCTCCCCTCCATCGGAGAGTCCCCAGTAACCCGCCCTCCCCTAGAGGCCTCCCAGTAGGCCGCCCCTCCCCGGAGAGCCTCCCAGTAGGCCCGCCCCTCCCCGGAGAGTCTACCAGTAGGCCCGCCCCTTCCCGGAGAGCCTCCCAGTAGCCCGCCCCTCCCTGGAGAGTCCCCCAGTAGGCCGCCCCTCCCCCGGAGAGTCTACCAGTAGGCCGCCCCAGAGTCCCCCAGTAGGCCGCTCCTTCCCGGAGAGTCCCCCAGTAGGCCGCTCCTCCCCGGAGAGTCTCCCAGTAGGCCCGCCCCTCCCCGGAGAGCCTCCCAGTAGCCCGCCCCTCCCCGGAGAGTCCCCCAGTAGGCCGCCCCTCCCCGGAGAGTCTACCAGTAGGCCCGCCCCTCCCCGGAGAGTCTCCCAGTAGCCCGCCCCTCCCCGGAGAGTCCCCCAGTAGGCCGCTCCTCCCCGGAGAGTCTCCCAGTAGCCCGCCCCTCCCCGGAGAGCCTCCCAGATGGCCCGCCCCTCCCCGGAGAGCCTCCCAGTAGGCCCGCCCCTCCCCGGAGAGCCTCCCAGTAGGCCCGCCCCTCCCCGGAGAGTCCCCCAGTAGCCCGCCCCTCCCCGGAGAGTCCCCCAGTAGCCCGCCCCTCCCCGGAGAGTCCCCCAGTAGGCCGCCCCTCCCCGGAGAGCCTCCCAGTAGGCCCGCCCCTCCCCGGAAAGTCTCCCAGTAGCCCGCCCCTCCCTGGAGAGTCCCCCAGTAGCCCGCCCCTCCCTGGAGAGTCCCCCAGTAGGCCCGCCCCTCCCCGGAAAGTCTCCCAGTAGGCCCGCCCCTCCCCGGAGAGTCCCCCAGTAGGCCGCTCCTCTCCGGAGAGTCCCCCAGTAGGCCGCTCCTCCCCGGAGAGTCTCCCAGTAGGCCCGCCCCTCCCCGGAGAGCCTCCCAGTAGCCCGCCCCTCCCCGGAGAGTCCCCCAGTAGGCCGCCCCTCCCCGGAGAGTCTACCAGTAGGCCCGCCCCTCCCCGGAGAGTCTCCCAGTAGCCCGCCCCTCCCCGGAGAGTCCCCCAGTAGGCCGCTCCTCCCCGGAGAGTCTCCCAGTAGCCCGCCCCTCCCCGGAGAGCCTCCCAGATGGCCCGCCCCTCCCCGGAGAGCCTCCCAGTAGGCCCGCCCCTCCCCGGAGAGCCTCCCAGTAGGCCCGCCCCTCCCCGGAAAGTTTCCCAGTAGCCCGCCCCTCCCCGGAGAGTCCCCCAGTAGCCCGCCCCTCCCCGGAGAGTCCCCCAGTAGGCCGCCCCTCCCCGGAGAGCCTCCCAGTAGGCCCGCCCCTCCCCGGAAAGTCTCCCAGTAGCCCGCCCCTCCCTGGAGAGTCCCCCAGTAGCCCGCCCCTCCCTGGAGAGTCCCCCAGTAGGCCCGCCCCTCCCCGGAAAGTCTCCCAGTAGGCCCGCCCCTCCCCGGAGAGTCCCCCAGTAGGCCGCTCCTCTCCGGAGAGTCCCCCAGTAGGCCGCTCCTCCCCGGAGAGTCCCCCAGTAGGCCGCTCCTCCCCGGAGAGTCCCCCAGTAGGCCGCTCCTCCCCGGAGAGTCCCCCAGTAGGCCGCTCCTCCCCGGAGAGTCCCCCAGTAGGCCGCTCCTCCCCGGAGAGTCCCCCAGTAGGCCGCTCCTCCCCGGAGAGTCCCCCAGTAGGCCGCTCCTCCCCGGAGAGTCCCCCAGTAGGCCGCTCCTCCCCGGAGAGTCCCCCAGTAGGCCGCTCCTCCCCGGAGAGTCCCCCAGTAGGCCGCTCCTCCCCGGAGAGTCCCCCAGTAGGCCGCTCCTCCCCGGAGAGTCCCCCAGTAGCCCGCCCCTCCCCGGAGAGTCCCCCAGTAGCCCGCCCCTCCCCGGAGAGCCTCCCGGTAGGCCGCTCCTCCCCGGAGAGCCTCCCAGTAGCCCGCCCCTCCCCGGAGAGCCTCCCAGTTGGCCCGCCCCTCCCCGGAGAGCCTCCCAGTAGGCCCGCCCCTCCCCGGAGAGCCTCCCAGTAGGCCCGCCCCTCCCCGGAGAGTCCCCCAGTAGGCCGCTCCTCCCCGGAGAGTCTCCCAGTAGGCCGCTCCTCCCCGGAGAGCCTCCCGGTAGGCCGCTCCTCCCCGGAGAGCCTCCCAGTAGCCCGCCCCTCCCCGGAGAGCCTCCCAGTTGGCCCGCCCCTCCCCGGAGAGCCTCCCAGTAGGCCCGCCCCTCCCCGGAGAGCCTCCCAGTAGGCCCGCCCCTCCCCGGAGAGTCCCCCAGTAGGCCGCTCCTCCCCGGAGAGTCTCCCAGTAGCCCGCCCCTCCCCGGAGAGTCTCCCAGTAGCCCGCCCCTCCCCGGAGAGTCCCCCAGTAGCCCACCCTTCCCGGAGAGTCCCCCAGTAGGCCCGCTCCTCCCCGGAGAGTCCCCCAGTAGGCCGCTCCTCCCCGGAGAAGGGTGTTAAAGAGCGCTGCTGATAGCAGTTAATGATGCTATGTAATGATGTTAATTAGATTAAACTTCTCTCCAATCCTTCACCGTAACTCAACCTTCAACGAATGTAATCACTTCTCTCTAATGGTTCGACAGCTGTTGGCGGTGATATAATGATGGGAGTCGTAATGAAGTCTGATTTCAGTCAATCAGTACATCACGTCTGTGAAATTGCTGTCATCGTGGGCCATTCTGCATATCTTGGGGAAAATTACGATATTTTGCGGAAAACATGATTGGTTGCACACAGAAATCACAACTGCGTGATGCATCAAATGATAAAATCCACAAGGGCCGTGACGAGGATTCGAATCTGCGTCCGATTGGTTGAATTGGTAATTGGTTGAATTGATGATTGGTTGAATTGTCCTCGTAAGGTGCTTCGATGGTGTCGTAAATTGCGTTATTCCTAGTGAAAATTGTAAGTTAATAGTTGATTTTTTACAACGGTAGCCACCTGCAAGATAATTCGAAATACTGTTGTTGATCAAATGCATATGAGAGGAAGGAACAGGAGTCACTATACTCCTGGGGCCAGATTCACGAAGCAGTTACGCAAGTACTTACGAACGTGTTCATCTTTCCTCAATCTTTGACGCCTTTGGTTACATTTATTAAACAGTTTACAAGCATGAAAACTTGCCAATCAACTGTTGTTATTGTTATAAACAGCCTCCTGGTGCTTCGGGGCTCATTAACTGTTTAATAAATGTAAACAAAGCCGCCAAAGATTGAGAAAAGATGTACAGATTCGTAAGTGCTTGCGTAACTGCTTCGTAAATCTGGCCCCCCTGGTGCCTCGGATCTCTCACTCGTAAACCAGAACATTGGTTTACACCGTCCTGGGTTCTTCAACTTTGACCTGTGAACCCGTAAGGTAACTCATGCCTAGCGATGATTTCGGGGCTCAACGTCCCCGCGACCCGGTCCTCGACCAAGCTCGGGCAAACTCATGCATGGAGTTTGTGAAGTATTCTGTCCTTAGCCAAGTTTTATAGTTTAGCCACAGTTTGACAGACAAGACAAACAACCACTGACGTATGAAGACGATGGCTATACCCTCGCCATCTGCCCCACTGCATGGAACAGTAAATAAAGCGGCCCTCAGGAGCTTCGAAGCCCAGCGGCCCTCAGGAGCTTCCGAGGCCCAGCGGCCCTCAGGAGCTTCCGAGGCCCAGCGGCCCTCAGGAGCTTCCGAGGCCCAGCGGCCCCCGGGAGCTTCCGAGGCCCAGCGGCCCTCAGGAGCTTCCGAGGCCCAGCGGCCCTCAGGAGCTTCCGAGGCCCAGCGGCCCTCAGGAGCTTCCGAGGCCCAGCGGCCCCCGGGAGCTTCCGAGGCCCAGCGGCCCCCGGGAGCTTCCGAGGCCCAGCGGCCCCCGGGAGCTTCCGAGGCCCAGCGGCCCCCGGGAGCTTCCGAGGCCCAGCGGCCCCCGGGAGCTTCCGAGGCCCAGCGGCCCCCGGGAGCTTCCGAGGCCCAGCGGCCCCCGGGAGCTTCCGAGGCCCAGCGGCCCCCGGGAGCTTCCGAGGCCCAGCGGCCCCCGGGAGCTTCCGAGGCCCAGCGGCCCCCGGGAGCTTCCGAGGCCCAGCGGCCCCCGGGAGCTTCCGAGGCCCAGCGGCCCTCAGGAGCTTCCGAGGCCCAGCGGCCCTCAGGAGCTTCGAGGTCCAGTTGCCTCTGACGACATTACAACCGGACTGGAACGAGGTATATTGCCCGGATTAAGATCACAAAGTTAATTAGATTAAACTGGTCCCAGGGATGAGGCGCAAACTGCGATAAATGGCCGGCTATATAGGACCTGGTGAATGAGAACGGGATTCAACGTTTGGACATTTATGCACCTGCCGTTGGTGGATCCAAACCCAGGCTGCCAGAAGGAGAATGTTGCAGTGTTTCGTGATTGTTGCAGAGTTGCTCGCCCATTTGTTGACTAAATATGCGGCGTTGATCTCGTTGCTGTAGAGGTCTCGCTCTCCCCGTGGCCTCCTGGAGTCCGCCTGTCCTCTTTCCTATTCTCTTTCGTCCTCGGGTTTGGCTTATGGGAATTATAGTTGAACACCTGGAGGTTTACTCGGGGTAAACTGTTTTTTTTTACTATCCTGGGGGGTAGAGGGGTGACAAAAATAGGCAGGGGGGAGGTTTACACCCCTCCCCCACGGGGAGGTTTACACCCCTCCCCCACGGGGAGGTTTACACCCTCCCCCACGGGGAGGGTGTGGAGTGAAGAATGCAGGGTTGTTGTTTTCAGATTCAGCTACAGGGAACAAAAAAAGTTGCAAGTAGCACGGGCTATGGTGAGCCCGTAGTGGACTTACCTGGCAGAGGAGCGGGATTGTAAAGCTGTGGGAAGCAGGGGAAGTCCAGGGTGTGGGGGGTAGGTATACCCCTTCAGGATAGGGGTTTTGAGGGAAGCAGTGGGAGGTATACACTCCGGGTTGAAGGTGAGAGAGAAGCAAGTGATGGTGTATACCCTCTGAGCAGGGTGGGGGGGGGGTGAGGGGAATAAGAAGAGGTGTAAATCCTCAGGCGAAATGTGAGGGGACATTAAGTTTACACTTCCGAGGGGATGCAAGGGAGCGGGGGGGGGGAGAGGATAGAAAATGGTTTACCCCCACGAGGCCAATAGTTAGGAGAGGTAGAAGAGGGAATAAATAGGCTAGTGAGGGGAGACAGAACGAAGCAAACATGCCTGAATTTACCTTAGGACCACCATATCTCATAGTGCCCTAAACGGGAACAGGAAGCCGGCGACTTGTCAACAGTCCTCACCCAAGACTTTTCCCAACTGGATTTTGAGCAAGTAATATCTTGGCATTTACAGCTTCGGCAGGTAGGCGGTTCCATTGGTTTATAACCCTATGGGTGATAAAGTATCTCCCGGTTTCTGTCCGACATTGTGGCTTGTTATCGATATTTAATAATCTCGAGAGAATGGGAGGGAGGGAGAGAGAGAGAGAGAGAGAGAGAGAGAGAGAGAGAGAGAGAGAGAGAGAGAGAGAGAGAGAGAGAGAGAGAGAGAGAGAGAGAGAGAATACAACTAGTAGTTTGAAGAGTATTAATGCCAAACGGGAAGATCGAGAGTAACAGGAATAGACAACAGGAAGCTGGAAAACCAGGACGCAGGAGCTGGCACACTGCCATACAATTTAGGCGAGTCCATTTAGGTGAATATAGAGTAATATAGAGCCACAGTACACACCGGGGCTGGTACTATGATACCGGGACACGGTAGAGTACTGGGGGGGGGGGGAAGGGAAATGATGCAATGTCCCATCATCACGCGATGTTGGGGGCGGCGCTCCCTGTCCCTTCTCTCCAATTTGTGGGTATGAGCTCTCCCCTCCCTCGCCCCCTGGTCACCTACCCTCCCTCACACCCTGGTTGGTACCTGGTTGATGGGGTTCTGGGAGTTCTTCTACTCCCCAAGCCCGGCCCGAGGCCAGGCTTGACTTGTGAGAGTTTGGTCCACCAGGCTGTTGCTTGGAGCGGCCCGCAGGGCCACCAACCCGTTCTCGCAAATTTAATAAGTCAATATTGACTCATTAAATATGTGCGTAGGTGACATACTTAACATAATAGTTTCCCTTGAAAAGCTTCATAGAAAACACCGACCTTACCTAACCTACATAGTATGTTAAGATAACCATCTTATTGCTTTGTAATTACAATTATTACCTAACCTATACCTATAATAGGTTAAGTAACAATTGTAATTACGAAGCTATAAGATGCTTATTTTAACATACTAAGTAGGTTAGGTAAGGTCGGTGTTTTTTATGAAGCTTTTCAAGGGAAACCATTATGTTTAGTATGTCACCTATGCACGCAAGTAATAAGTCAATATTGACTTATTAAATTTGCGAGAACGGGTTGGGGCCACATACCCACCACAGCCCGGTTGGTCCGGCACTCCTTGAAGGAAACAATCTAGCTTCCTCTTGAAATCCCTTCTCCTCCTATATACTCTACAAGCTGTAAAAATTATATCCATTGCACTATATATATCCTGTGCTCTGTATATACAACCTTTTGCATACACCCTTCCAATAATGGCATATATATATATACACCTTTCAGTTAGTGTTAGAGATATATGTTAAGGACACGTGTGTGTACTCACCTAGTTGTACTCACCTAGTTGTGCTTGCGGGGGTTGAGCTCTGGCTCTTTGGTCCCGCCTCTCAACCGTCAATCAACAGGTGTACAGGTTCCTGTGTGTGTGTGTGTGTGTCATTAGCACTCCCTCCATAAGTGCTACAGGTATGCACCCCTCTATAAGTGCCAGGTGTACATCCCTCCATGAATGCCACACATGAACTTCTCTAACTAGTGCCACATATCTACAGTCACGTATTTTCATCAATTTACCTGACTGGTAACTTCTCTCTTAGTGCCATACATACTCTACAGTGCTATACACTACAGTGCTGTACAATGACATTATACTGCGTCATACACATACACCGCAGTCCCACAAATATACAATAGAGTGCTATACATATTCACTACCTCCCAATACATGTACACTACTCTAAAATGTACATTTAGGCTTTTACAAAGGAGGAAGGGAACTATCAGGGGAAAGCGCCAAGTCATTACGACTATATAGCACTTGGAAGGGGGTCAGGATAAGGATTTGGGGATGGGACGGGAGGGAAGGAATGGTGCCCCAACCACTTGGTGGACGGTCGGGGATTGAACGCCGACCTGCATGAAGCGAGACCGTCGCTCTACCGTCCAGCCCAAGTGGCTGGGTTTACAAAGGAGGAAAGATTGGGAGAGATGCAGTTTACTGTTGAAAAAATACAGGATTCTGATTTAAATAATCCTAATCCTGTGAGTTACCAAATACCAGCTGTACAATGGTGACATTTTGACATCTGTGTAAAGAAGCTCTGGGAACCATCATCTAGAGGTGATCTTGAGATGATTTCGGGGCTTAGCGTCCCCAAGGCCCGGTCCTCGAGCAGGCCTCCTTTTTGTTACACCCCCCAGAAAGCAGCAGGTACTTATTTACTGCTAGGTGAACAGGGGCATCATTGTGTAAGAAACTGCCCATTTTGTTTCCTCCTCCACCGGGAATCGAACCCACAACCTCAGGACTAAGAATCCCGAGTGCTGTCCACTCAGCTGTCAGGCCATGATCATTGTGGATCTTCAGTCCAAAAATCAATGCATAAATGTATGGAAGAAATCAAGTATGACAGTGTAATTTATTTCTAGAAACGTCATCAGATTTTCTTCTTCAGTTATTTTATTTTGTTAGGCCCCATTTAGATCATACAGTACAGTTCAGGACCCGGATTCACGAAGTAGTTACGCAAGCACTTACGAGCCTGTACATCTTTTTTCAATCTTTGGCGGCTTTGTTTACAATTATTAAACAGTTAATAAGCTCCGAAGCACCAGGAGGCTGTTTATAACAATAACAACAGTTGATTGGCAAGTTTTCATGCCTGTAAACTGTTTAATAAATGTAACCAAAGCCGTCAAAGATCGAGGAAAGATGTACACGGTCGTAAGTGCTTGCGTAACTGCTTCGTGAATCCGGGTTCTGTATTAAAGAATGGATATAAATTTCCCTTCAGCGCTTGCAGAAAAGAATTACAAAGTTAATCCCAAGAAAATAGAAACCTTCCCTATGAAGAGCCTAATAAGGCTTAATTCATATTTTCTAGAAAAAGAAGAGTATAGGTAGCCACGTATGATAATGTATATGTATGGATGAAAGGTATACGTAAATAGGGGATATATAAGTTTTTTATATCAACACAATAGAAGCTAAACAGTTTATATAATTTAGATAAGTTTAGATTTTGGAAAGACCTGGGTAAATATTGGTGTGGAAACAGGACTGTTGATTCGTGGAACAGATTACCGGGTAATATAATAAACGAGGGATCGCTAGATTGTTTCAAGTGCAGGTTAGACATATATAAAAGTTTGGGTAGACATGAATAGGCGTACATATATACTACAGTTGAACAAATCTACAAGGGCCGTGAAGGGGATTCGAACCTGCGTCTGGGAGCATCCCAGCAGTATACTACAGTTCGTCACATTTATGGTCCTAAGCTCTAATAACCTTCCCTTTTACTTCTGTTCAGTCACTATTTGCTTAAAATAAGTTACAAAAAAGAACATAGTAAACATTAAAAATCTTATGTCACAAATATACCTTTACCGATCATAAATAGAGAGAGATATCCATGTTGACCAGACCACACACTAGAAGGTGAAGGGACGACGACGTTTCGGTCCGTGCTGGACCATTCTCAAGTCGATTGTGAGACTTGAGAATGGTCCAGGACGGACCAAAACGTCGTCGTCCCTTCATTTTCTAGTGTGTGGATTGGTAAACATACTTCAGCCACGTTATTGTGACTCCTCGCCTGCAGAAATATCCATAGTTACCCTTAACTTTGTGGTTTCACAACTTACACAAGGTGAAACCTAGCCTAGCAGTAAAATAGGTACCTGGGTGTTAGTCAGCTGTCACGGGCTGCTTCCTGGGGGTGGAGGCCTGGTCGAGGACCGGGCCGCGGGGACACTAAAGCCCCGAAATCATCTCACGATAACCTCAAGAAGAAGGGATGAGACCTTACTGGTGTCTCGGGCAGGGTTCAGCTAAACAAGGGACTGGAGATGAACCAGCTGGCGTCTTGAAGCATCTCTCCC